TCATGGGTTGATGAACTGATTTGTTATTATAGACCTGTAATGGGTTCATGAACTGATTTGTTATTATAGACCTGCAATGGGTTGATTAACTGATTTGTTATTATAGACCTGTAATGGATTGATGAACTGATTTGTTTATTATAGACCTGTAATGGATTGATGAACTGATGTGTTAGTATATGCCTGTAAAGGATTGATTTGTTATTATAGACCTGTAACGGATTGATTAACTGATTTGTTATTATAGACCTGTAACGGATTGATGAACTGATTTGTTTATTATAGACCTGTAATGGATTGATGAACTGATGTGTTAGTATATGCCTGTAAAGGATTGATTTGTTATTATAGACCTGTAATGGGTTGATGAATCTATTTATTATTATAGACCTGTAACGGATTGATGAACTGATTTGTTAGTATAGACCTGCAATGGTTTGATGAAATGATGTTTTTTAGTGTATACGCCTACCTGAAGTAATAAATACTGAAAAAAGTTCTAGTTTCTAAAATATGTACTTTTCATGCTTTCCTATCTTAATTAAGACATCCATTAAACTTAAGAACTTCACAGAATAGATGTTAAAATCATAAACCGAAATTTTTAGAAATGTGTCCCATAACGTATCTGAAAGTTTTAACTAAAAAAATACAGCTGTTAATTTTTTAACGCCAAAACTTTACGTAAAAAGTTATGTAACCTTCTAAAGCTTGTTATGCTTTTTGTAAGCTGTTAGAAAACTATTGTACAGATTTGAGTAAAATAAACGCCTTATTGTAGAGAAATATATCTCCTGCGTTTTTTTAAAGATTTCAACTAAATATAACTGTAGTCATTATAAAGCCAAACACCGAAACCAGTTCAAACTGCTTAATAAACAATTAGTACTCTCAGTTTTTTAGTTATCCTTTTAAAACAAATTCAGTTTAATCAAGTAGATACATATATATGAATAGCATATTTAAGAAATATTTTCAGGTGTAATTTACGACGTTTTTTTGATAATGAAAATGTTTTACCAAAAAAGCGAATTTCCCCTTTAAAAAATTGGCATCTTAATAAAACATTCTACTGTATGTATATAAACAGGTGACTTTTAATAGAATGCGATACTCATCTATCCAACACTTTTGTACATTTTTAATTTCTGTTATAAACCAGATGAGTAAAGCTGGCATCTAATTTGATAGAGACATGTCAGAAAACAATTTAAAAATATATGCATTAAAATAAATCATAAGAAAATAAAACATTACAAGGATATAGGACAACTGTAATATATCAGGCCCTTCCATCTTTTAGTTTTTCTTAGATATTTCTACAACAAATGCAATTTGATGCAGTGTGATAATAAGAAACATATTTTCAAAACCTCTTAGTCACCTATTCACTTAGTTTGATCTCTATTAAAACCCAGCGTATTGTTAATTTCATCACATTCATCACAAGGCTCAGTACATTTAGTATCTTTCAACTCATATACCCGATGGAAGAGATAGCTGCAGATACCATAAAGTGACCTATTCTCTTCAGCCCGTACCATATCGCATATCTAGTAAACAAATCATATTCCTTTGTTAAAGCGTGATTGATTGGTGGAATTTATTTTTCCCTTTTGGACATCATAGAAAATACAGAATAGATACAATCATAAATACACATGCAAAATAATAAAATCATTAAAACATTACAAGCACAAAAAATGCTTGTTTAAGTCCAATAAGACAGGTCTCCACTTTGCTCAACAGAAATATTGACACCAGTCATCGCTTGTGTTCTCGAATTTTGATTATGTCAAAGCCTATAGCCTCTTTAGTCTTCAACAGAATGATAACCACGAATATGGAAAATACATGATAAGATAATGAAAAACATGTATCTTGAAGAAAGTTGTTGTTTTATCAACTGCATGCCAAAATGGGTGTATTTTGACAAAACCACTTATCTTTATAAACGTAAAAAGCATCTAATTTAAATTTTAAACATGAAATTGATTAAAAAGAGGAGAATTTGTCTTGTTTGACTTTTTAGACATTTCTGGGTAAACTTTAATGTCTCCCACCTGTTAAACATTATCATTCAATTAGTTTTCGGGGAAGGGAGGGTTTGATTCTCCCAAATGTACAGGCCTAGGGTGGAGCAGACAATTTATTTAGAAATTAGGATTAAGGGTCTTGATATTGGGTTTTCTTCTGTTCTCATTCTGATCTGAAATTCGAAAAAATAACTCGCCCGATGGGTATAGTATCTGTTATGTACTGATTGTTTTTAGTTTACTATGTACAATATTATCATTTAAGTTCTTATTTTTTGAATATGCAACTATCATTTTCTGCTTATAGACATGGGGAATTTCTCTTGAAGGCTCTTATAGTGGGCATGAACTATCTTGCTTGCTCGATTGCTGGTTGTATTAAACGGGACGACAAAGGGTGCTATGCCTACATTATGATGAATATTTAGTCCTATAGGTCTTTCTGTATTCAATGTCTCAATCCAATGGGCCTCCCTAGATTGACGGAATTTGGTAGTTTCATCTTCGGGCAAGTCAATTTCTATACGCTCAATTGGGATTAGGGTGAGATCGTCTATTGAATGGTCGTCGAGGTTGAAATGATTAGAAACAGGCTTGTCTTTTTTTAATTTGATGTCTGACCTATGAGCATTAAAGCGAGTTCGTAAATTATTCTTAGGTTCTCCTACATATTGTTTGGGGTATTTGCAAGAAATTAAATATATTACATTCGAATGTTCACATGTTAGATGTTCCTGGATCGGGTACCTTTTATTCGTATAGTTGCTTACAAAATAATGAGTTTCTGATATTAAGCGACATGTTTTGCATCTACTGGACAAACATGGAGCACTTCTTAAACCTGGAGGTACTTCGGCATAAAGTCTGTTTTTAGCTGCTATCTGTGCTAAGGTGGAATTTTTTATGTTTCGTAAAAATCGTTTAGAGTACCCACGCTCTTTCAGTTTTGAGAAAACAATCGTACAGGCTTGGTTGAAATCAGAAGATCTGGTACAAATTCGATGAAATCGTAAAACTTGTGACTTAATTATACCAGAAAAGGTATGTTTTGGGTGAAAGGAGCTCTTGTGCAAGAGTTGATGAGTATCAATTTCTTTGAAATACACTTTAATATCCAGTTTATTTGTTTCTGCTATGATATCTCCCTTAAAGACTGTGGTATCGAGAAAGTCTATGCTTTTGTCACTCACGTTTGCGGTTAGTTTGATAGAAGGATGGTGGTTGTTGAGAATTTCAAAGAATTCCCAAAACTGTTCGATAGAATAAGTCCAAACCATAAAAATGTCATCCAAAAAGCGTCCGTAAAAAAGTGGGTCAAATGGACAGAGGGGCAACACCTCACGTTCCCACTCTGCCATGAAAAGGTTTGCGTACGAAGGGTCCCTGAAGTTTGTAAATATGTTTTACCATTAAATGTGAAATCGTTTCGACTAAGACAAATCTCTAAAAGCTGTAGAATTGCATCGTCGGGTCTGTTTGGATATGGGTTCTATTAAAAGCTTTACGAACTGCCGTTAGACCAGTAGTGTTATCGATATTGGTATACATAGAAGAAACGTCGATAGAAATCAAAATAGCATTAGAGGGAACTCGAAGATTTTTTATTTTATTGACAAAATCGGTTGTGTCTTTAAGGTAGGCGCGATGTTGACATGCTAGAGGTACTAAGAAATGATCAATGTATTCTGACACTGCATATGATTCACTACCACAGTCAGATATAATCGGGCGGCCTTTAGGGATTTTATTCGAGATAAACCACTCCTTGGTTGGATTCTTATGGATTTTAGGCAAAGTGTACAAATGTCTCTCGCGACAATCAGGTTTGGCAGACAGATAGTCATATTGTTTCTGTTTGAGATAACTAGTTTTGACTAAATCGGCAAGAATATTATTAATCATGTTAGCAGTTTCTTTGAAAATTGGTTTCGGTAAAATGGCATAATGTTTAGGATTATTCAGTTGATTCTTTGCTTCTGAAACGTAATCCTCCCTATTCAGAATGACACAACATGAACCTTTGTCACTCTTTTTAATAACAATGCTATCGTCTTTCTTAAGTAAGTTTAACGCTTCACGTTCCACTCGTGTGAGATTAAGCTTTTCGTGTGTTATGGGAAGGTTCGCTGTTTGGCTATTCATACTCGCAAATGCTTTCAATATTTCAGGATGGATGGCGGCCTGAGGGAGTGTCCACGTTGATTTAGGAATAAACATTGTTCTAGTACCACGTGGGGGGTGGTTTCGAAAAAAATATGTGCAGCTAAGATTTCGTTGAAATCGTTCAATGGATGGTCGGAGATAATTCAAGTTAGCTATCTTTGGTGTTGGAATAAATTTAAGTCCACGGTCTAAGATTGAATGCTGAAGGGGTGTGAGAATTTTGCGGCTCAAGTTAACTACAGTATGGCCTAGCGGTGGCCTCTCAGTATTTTTATCCCCAGTAATTAGTTTAAAGACTTACTCGATGCTTGAAGCTGGTGTATCCAAAACAAATAAATGCTGTTTGCTGTTTCTGGAGACCAATGAAGATTATCAACTGGTTCGAATTCTTCTTCGTAGGGTGGTAAGATTGTTGCGCTGTTCTGTTGTGCTTTTATCGAGATTTTATTTGAAATGGGTATACATGTGAAGAGGATCTTGGAGTTTGGCAAGGTTTTGTTGGCTGTGGCGATTAATTTCTGGGCTTGGTTAAAGGAGGTCTTTGGTAGCTGATCACGGTTGTTGAGGCCTACATGAAGAATAATGGTAGTAGGTTTGGGATCATGGTCGTATGATTCAAGGATTGACTGTATGTGATGGATTTGGGCACCGGGGTAAGAATGTATTTCAGTGTCTGATCTGGTTTTGGTAATTCGATTCAGGTTAGATGATCCAATTGTTAAGGTAGATTTCTTTAGAGCAGGTAGCTTTCATAATGATTTGTCCTTGGTTTGGTGATAATACGGTTTGGTAGCGGATATAATGGTCGTCGACGGTGTGATTGGTACTGGTTTGGTAGATGTTAGAATTGTAGCATTGGGAACGGACAGAGTTCTGGTTCGAGGGATACACGTCTCGACTTGGATGGAGACTGAGGGGTGGTTTGCTAGTCCAAAAACGCACAGAAGGAAGAAAGGTTGGCGGATCCTGGATCACGTGGTGAAGATTCAGATGGTGTGGAAGGGGAAGACGAGTCTGAAAGTGAAAAGAGAAGGGGAGTGCCCTCTCTACGAGCGTTTACCTATGTCTGCTGGACTAGGAGTAGGTGAACTTCGGGCTCGTTTAGGAGTTTGGTTCGGCAGCGTGGTGGCTCTAGATGGTTCAGGTGTAGTGTCCATTTCAGTTGGTAGAGATATGGTTACTCTGGTTTTTTTTTCGTTGATTGTTTGGTAGAATTTGGTGATTACAGCTTGAGTGAGACGTTTCCCATAGGAGCGACGGGCCCAGGACAGGGCATGAGAAACGATGCGGTCGACGGCAGGTGATGATAAAGACTTGGTACGAATGGTGGTCAGCTTCTCTTGAAGTGTGGTTTGGTAATGGTCGATCAGGACCTGCGTAACCTTACAGAGCCATGTCCGATTGAGGGATCTAATATTCGCGTCAACAGCTGATGTTTTCATTGCTGGACGGATAAAACAATCCAACTCAGAGACTTTGCGTTTGAAGGTAAATGCTGTTTGGCCTTGCTGTTGAAGGGTAAGGATTGCCAAATGATTGAGGCACTGCAAAACTTGGAAGAACACCTTCGCAAAGGGTTCTTCCTCCTTGGAAGAACACCTTCGCAAAGGGTTCTTCCTCCTTATGAGTTGGCGTCGGTGGGCCGGTAGTCGTTTCTGTTGTTGGTCAGGTCGATGGTTACCTCTTGATTGGTAGGTTGTGTTGTAGGTAGGTCGGCGATGGGTTGGGATATAGCTGGATGGGTTGGTTGGTGGTCGGCGATTGGTAGGTGGCAGAGGTCGATGGAAGACAGGGCCGTTGTAGGGTACGTGATATTGGTTTGGTTGACAATTAGTGTTTCTATGTCTGGCTTCTTGCCAGTGGTTGTTGTAGTTGGGGAACATAATGAAAATAACTTGAGGTTAGAAAGGGAATGTACAGCGGATGTAACAGTAGGAAACTGTATATGCTAGCGTCAAAATGTGGGGATCAAATTATGCAAATAAGTCAAACTGGGTTTGGGGATATACAAAGTAAGATGAAAGTTATGATGAAAAATGCAAAAATATATATTTAGGTGATACATAACGCTAACAATGATGTGAAAAATTATAACAAGTAAAACAAAAACTTACGCAATTGACACGAACCGGTTTTCGAAATATTATCCTTTTTCAAGTGTCGAGGAATACATCTATGATGCGTGAACTTATAACTATATAATCATCCACCTTTACTAAAACAGATTATATAGATCCCAGGTATGTAAAGTGACTAACACCGCCAACGTCCAAGATGCGCGGAAACAATTTGCCATATATTTTCAACCAATTACCTCTAAATATCCTTAGAGCCTGATAAGAGTCAGCAGGTTTCGGATTAAAAAGTTCTGCGTCATCTGTAATTTGGAATGCCGCCATAAAAATGTACAGAGTTCAAATTAAATTTATCTCTGTTGCTAAATCGACGGAAGCAATCTTATGTTGTTTGTAAAATTTAAAAACAATTTTCAAATAAATTAATGCCTATACTTTACCATCTTATCGGGCTAATGGAATGGAGTTTTACGTTTTCTGTACCTTATTATGTAATGAAGACGGGGAATCTGTGTAAATTTTTTGATCTAAAGAAAAACAGTCATCATCGTACCGGCACATGAAAATATTATCTTCTGAAGACACATCTGAAGAATGTCTCCTTCAAATGGACTTCGCTGAAAACTTCACTTGTATCTGGCAGGATGAAATTCAGTCAGCCCATTGGAAGCAGCGACAGGTGACGATCTATACCATAATGATCACTTACAGAAACAAGAAGTTATCGTATGTCATCATTAGTGATTTTTTAAGCCACGAGAAAACGGCTGTAGCATTCACATCCACAATATTGGATATTATCACCGACAAGTTCCCCACTGTTAGAACTGCAGATGTTTGGACGGACGGACCGTCAAGCCAGTACAAGAATAAGTATATATTTGCACTGTTGCCACGTCTTCAGGATCAACATGCTGTTAGAATAAGATGGAACCATTTTGCTACGAGTCACGGCAAGGGACCAAATGATGGAATAGGTATTGTTCATCGACTGATTATGTCACGTTCTACTGTCGTATCAGATTCTCAGTCATTTGCTAATGCTCTTCGTTCCAGTGGTACCTTAATCAATGTAGTAGAACTGACCGAAGATGATATCAAAGATAAATGCAAAATGTTGGATGTTGAGACGTTATGGTCTGGTTTACAAATATTTCCTGGAACTATCTCTAGACATTGTGCTCAGTCCGTTGGGAATGGAATGGTTCAGCTGAAGTTTTTCACCACAGATCCACCCCAAGGCATGTTCCTGCCAAGTACACAAAGGAAGCAATTGAAGTCAGTAGGAAATCGGATGAAAACTGGAATTGCACACTTTGTAAGAGGAAATATGGTGATAAAGCGGATCCAAAAATTTCTGGAGAATGGATTATGTGCGCCTCCTGTCAATCCTGGTTTCATGAATCATGTGGGCAGCAGAATGGTACATTGTACGATTGCGACCAATTCCTGTGTAAAAAGTGTTTGTAAGAACAAGAGTGAATTTGTTAAAATTGCTATGACATAATAAAATTTTAAATACCCTTTAGGTGTGAGGACTGTTAGATATGTTGACGCCAAAATCCAAATTTGTTTTGACTCCTTTATTATTTATTTTGGTAATTTTTAATAGTATTGTTAATTTGCTTTGATCTATTAAACATCATCAACTGATTTATTTTGGTTGTGCTAGTTTCTCAGTTGTTAGAACTGAACTTATTTCACAAACGTGACGGAAATTCTTGACTCGTACTTCCGTCACAAAGCCAGATTGTAAGTCCGTCACGCAAAGTTTAGTCTAGTGTCAAAAACCTTTAGCGAATTTCTGCCCTGTTTCATTGGTATTTTGATCATTTGAGGTGTTACATGACATAAACAACTATTATGATATGAAGTGGGTACTAATTTAGCAGAAATATATGAGAATGTGCATTTTGTAAAAGGGATATGGCATAGGCTGTTATTCCGTCACGCCAACTTTAAACTACAATTGTCTGAAAATTATCGAAATTACCAATGAAATGTTATGGCTTTCAAATTATTTGATTATTCCTTAATTAGAAGTACTAAATCTAAATATTGTATTTCTGTTAGTAACTCGGGTAAAAGGCTAATTGAGTGCACTTTTAGAGCTATGAGAAATTCCGTCACGATGAAATCCATGAAATAAAGATGCAGAGAAACCTATGTAATAATGTATAGAATAATATTCATGGTACGTTTTATCTTTTTATATGAGAAGATCAGACGAATTAATTCAAAGTGAAACGAGTGTGGCCCTAAGTTCCAACCTCTGCAACAAAACAAATTTCACCGTTAAGAGTGCATTTCCATTTACCAACGTGCCGAAACATCTCAATTTTAATCATCTGTGCGTGCGTGTACACATTTGTGATTTGATTACACTCACAAGAAACAATACAGACAGAAGTTTCCAAAGTTTCAACAGTCTATCTTGGCGAATGTTTTGAAAAACCATAGTAGACCTTCAGATATAGGCTATGCATATCAAAACTTAGTTTATTTGACCAAAAACACTCGAAACAATTACTGTTGAAAATATCAATGACAAATCTTTTTTCACCAAAAGGACACGTTTTAACAATGATCTATCATTGCACTTAGCAACTATACAACAGATGCAAATAATTTCCATATAATTTATGCAAACATTTCCCACCAGAGCCGTATATAGAGAGAGTCTGGCCAACTTGTGATCTCGCCGCGCTGAACCATGATTGGCGCAGAGCGGTCACGTGATTGAAGGCCGCCATATTGTTACCCTTCCCGCGACGTTTAGGCGTAGGAGCCTGGGTATTCTTTACGTTGTTTAAGCCTAATTCCTGGTCTTGTCTGGCAACAGAATGCCTCGATATGTGGCATAGAAATGCTCTGTCAAATCTGGAGAAGTTATAGTGATGCACAGGTTCCCTAAGGATAAAAGGAGACGCAGAGAATGGGAAGTAAAGGTCAAACGATCCGACTGGACTCCCCACGACAACTCTTTTCTATGCGATGTAAGTACATTCGATAATTTCAGGGGTTTTGCAAATTGTGTTATGTTCAGGTCTAAAAACTGGATATAATAGATATGGAAACTTTGTGAGAGGGTTTCTTTCCACGCACTGGCTCTCTAAGCCTAGGCCTAGACGAGGAGCATGCACTATGGCTTCTGAGACACTGTCAACAACATTTCTGATAGGCCTACACTTCCTCGATCGATTTATGTTTTTCTATAAATGTGAAATTCTAAGACTATTTACTTATTTAGTATTTAGTATTATTTACTTCCAATCACCAAAACAAACAGTATAATTTAAAGGTGTGCGCCATATTGGTGCTTGAACGGTGAGGCAAGGGGCCATGGCTCCTAATTCTAATATTTGCGCTGGTTCTGATTTTCAACCTAAAACCCCCCCACCACCACCCTTCTCCCTATCAATATCATTGATTTCCTAAATGCCTATCAGTATTACCCCACCCCTTTAGAGATCAAATGAAACGCCACCATTGTTTATGTTATTTCATTATTAACATTTGCAGAAAAATATGGAAGGGCAATGTAGACTGTGGGTCTAGACTATAATGTGAACACTAAGTCTTTTCACTTGTGTAAATTTTGGTTTCTCAGCCGACAGCTGAAGCAAAATGGTTTCAAAGCTGAAATGATGATTATTGAGTGGTGTGATATAACTTTCATGCCTTTATGACATAAAATAAATTGTGCTGATTGAAACTGAATAATGAGCCTTTTTCTGTTCAGGCCCATAAGTAAAAGAGACAGGGGTGGGGTGGGGCGGCGCCTCCCTTGAATTATTTTCGCCCCCCCCCCCCCCACTGCAAAATTCAAACAAGTTCTCAATTGAAGCTGAAATCAGTCTCTATCAGCTATTTCAGCCTCCGTGCAAATGCATTCGCCCCCCTTGACACATTGGTCTGGTTACGGGCCTGTTTCTGTTGATAACGATTTATAGTGCACATCTTGCTTTGAGCAATTTTCATGATGACTAAATTTCTTTGGCAAAGATGGAGTTCAGTCCTTTATACTAACTTCACTATATTCTAAAGCTTTATGTAACAAAAATCATTGGTTATAGTTTATGCACCGTTTTGACAGTCGTCAGGCACACGGGCCTATTGATCAAAAACAATATGAATTATATTATACATTATATTACTTATCAATATGTTGCATAAACTATAACTAGTGATTAGCCTATTGTTCCATATAGCTGTAGAATATACAGCTAGGCCCTAGCTATTTTAATATGGAAGATTACAGGTTTAATATTTCGGTGGTTAATAATTGGAAAGTGCTCAAATTCAAGATTTATCTTCTTTTTGTGTTTTTGTATAAACATACCAAATTTTATCAAAATCGGTTAAAAACTGTAAATTCTAGAGCGTTTACGAGGGATAACGTCGGCCATCTTGTAGCTAAGAGAGGGTAACAAGATGGCGCCTTGTGACGTAGTTGGCCAGACTCTCTCTATATACGGCTCTGTTTCCCACAGCAAAAGTCAATTTTAGTCTTTCATCTACAAAATACAAGAGTTACTCCCCATTTTTGCAAAGCCTTTTTAGGCTTAGAAAAGATTTCACCTATAAGAAGAAAGTGTTTTTAATTTTTAACGTTAACCAGGTGTCAGAACGCATACAACTTGATGTATGTGGCATTTTAGAGTTGCGACAGTCTGCAGCACAATACCATTAAAGCACAAATACTGTTGAAGAATGGTTTTAATAAACAAAATAATAACAAACGATAAACCCGAAGGAGAACGGGAAGTTAATAATGGCTTACTTCCCTTCGTTGGACTTAGACCACTAATATTGTAGATGTACACAAACAGTGAGTCAAGTGAGGTAACCTACTGGCGTTGTGACCCCTTGTATTTATTTTAGTATCTGTTTTGACTGTTGTTTCCATTGCTTCATAAAATTCACCATTGCTGTCAGCTGGCAAACAGGCTCTCGATTGTATGTTGAATATTTATATTAATTATTAGTAATAAGATTCTATTTAAATTATGAATTATTCATTAGTGTCTATGAGCGGTGAGAAGGTTCTATAACTAATCGTTATACAGTCTACTTCGTAGCTGATGAATAACATAACTACCACCGCTACCATTGGCTTTCAATCAATACCATTAGAACATTCAGCGGTAAAGTTAAACGATTGTGGAGATCACACTCTTCTATGGTACCGTACAATACATCAGGATTTCAATAAATTTCTTTATGTTAAATATTGAAAGTAAATATGTATTATTTCGGTGGAAATAGAAGATTTAGAACTGGGTGAAATATAATGAAGTAAAAGTATTAAACAGTATAGTATATTTTTAGTGGAGCTGTATTCCATTACATTCTGTTATAAAAGGTAAGTTAACAATATTTCATTGATCATGTAAACAAATTATCTGAAAATCCATTTTTGAAATTGCTAATTTGTCCTGTATCCACACAGAATAAATACCTGTTAGAATCGAGTCAAACCTTATTCGAACTGTATAAGAATTATTATAAAATATATATTGTACATAGTTTACACAAAATGAATAAATGAATGACACTTTCTTCATGAGATTCATTCAAACTAATACGTAGCCTAAAGCTGCGGTGTACGATTCGGGATTATCGATACTGTATAAAAAGTCCGTACCCGTTTGTCGTGTGTGTTCACTTCTATTTATTTCAGTATCGATAATCAAGCATCGTACACCGCACCGGACACCGGACATCGTCTATTCGCGGCTTAATACTTTCTGTTGGTGTGCTAATTTATATGTTTTATTTTATGCTTTCAAATTGTTTTAATCATTGAGAGAAAAGTTTATTTTGACATCTCATGTGACAAATATGATATTCAGATTAAGTTTGAGTTGAGAATTATAATAATAAAATTTAATATTTAATAATGAGGATATTTTATATATTATACCTTTTATTTTCTTCTATATATTGAGAAAATACCATTCAAGAATTACGTTTTGGGTTTTTTTGGTTACTTAAATTGTAATTAAATACAGGCCCTCCAAATAGTTACTATGAGAATATATGAAAGATGAGGAGGTTGGGGGCGTGTTGTTTCTATGTTTACTATGTATTAATGTCCTTTATTACCAAACAATATTTTAAATAATATAACAGTATATCAAACTCCATTATCAAATACAGTGTTCATCTGTTCATCTATTAATTTGATTATTGGAAGATGACCGCGCGACATTGTTTTCGACCTCAGTGAACTTGAATGATATATTCATGGGTATGAAATATTAAAAACAGAACCTGAAACATTGTGTTATACCAGTTTCACGCTGTGCGCTCAGGTTCTGTTATAACATTTCTATATCGCTATTCAATTGGTGTATTGAGCACTTTATCGAGAATTTAAAGGGACATCCTGCTTATTTGAGGTCGAAATTTTTTTTTGCTCAAATTTGCGAAAACTATACACCAAAATCTAGAGAATGTGTCCTTTAATATCTGAAAGATTTTACTTAAAAAATCCAGCCGTTA